TACATTCATTCTTTAAGATACTCATTTTTTAAAAAAAGACTTATTTCGGGCCGGCCTGTGGCTCACTCGGTAGAGTGCGGTGCTGATAACACCAAGGCCGCGGGTTCGGATCCTTTATAGGGATGGCCGGTTTGCTCCCTGGCTGAGCGTGGTGCTGACAACACCAAGCCAAGGGTTGAGATCCCCTTACCGGTCATCTTTAAAAAAAAAAAAAAAAAAAAAAAAAAGACTTATTTCTCTAGCTTCTTAGCTCTCTCACACACATCTGACAGGAGGTACCATTTTCCAAAAGTCTTACAGCTAATAAGTATAGGGGTGGGATTTAAATTCATACCATTCTGCCTCCCTGGAAAAAGAGATAACTACAAGAAAAATAAGGATCCAAGAGAAAACAAACTAAAGTTTACTGACTATAATTAATAAAATTCTGTACATCAAGAATCTTTATCTATGAATTACATAATTTTTAGGGACAGAAATAATTATATGTGTATACACAAACACACATACACACACATACACACATTATTACAGTTGGCAGAAAAACAGCATTTAAGAAATGGAGGAGATTGTGAATGAGAAAACTTCAGACCCACACACAGGTGGCCATGTTACAGTTCGTGCCCAGGAGCCCTGATTTCCAGACAAATGCCCAATCCAGGACTAAGTATTTATGTTGTTTTCTTCAGCATTTCAAGTCTCCGGTTAAGATCTTCAAAGTCAACTTCTTCGGAATCATAAGGGTCAATGGATAGGCTTGCTTGAGGTTTTACATCAAACAAGTCAGGCAGCGTAAAGTTATCGAAACCAATCTTAGCTCTTGATTCTGGCTTTGGAGATGTTTGAGGGTTGAATCCTGGACCTATTCATTTTAATAAATGTAATTAAAGGTCACAATAAGGTAACCCCCCAGAAAGAAACCCTAGCCTTATAAAAAGTAGGCTACTATTACATTTGAAAGAGCAATATATGCTATGACTAGAAAATTGGACAATTTCTCCATTATACAAATGGTGGTATTGATTATGATTTGTTGGCAATATCCTTCAAGCGCAATCCAGACTTTTGAAAAGGCACAATATTGGGGCCGGCCCGGTGGCGCACTGGATAGTGCGCCGCTTGGGAAGCGCGGCGGCGCTCCCGCTCAAGGGTTCGGATCCCACATACAGACCGGTTCCCGCTCACTGGCTGAGCGAGGCGCGGGAGCAACACCGAGGGTTGCGATCCCGTTGCCGGTCCCCGGTCTGGTACGGGGGCAACACTGAGGGTTGCGATCCGTTGCCGGACACGGAAAAAGACAAAAGACAAAAAAAAAAAAAAAAGAAAAAAGAAAAGGCACAATATTTCAAATCATGTGCCAGGATGATCTAGTGTAGTAGTGATTCTAAAACTTTATTGTGATTGAAATGATTAAGTTTTATAATGATGAATATGCTAATTACCCCTGATTTGATCATCACACATTGTATACATGTATTGAAATATAACTCTGTACACCACAGATATGTATAATCAATGCATTTCAATAAAAAAATATAAAAAATAAAAAATAAAACTTTTTTGTATTAAAGACCTCTGAGATCTGATGAAAGCAATAATTAATCTTCCCACATATACAAAATTTTACCTACAACTTTAGGTGGTTCCTAGGTAGACTCTAGGCTAAGAACTCCTGGCCTGCAAACAAAATTATTCACATTAGAGGCCTTGCCACAGGAACTCAGTATATTTGTACTACTCCAAGGTCCCAACAATGAGGCCTCTAATGAGAGTAGCTTTATTTTCCTATTATCCTTGAACTGCTAATTTTTAGAATCTCTTGAGTATTGGGAGGTCCATACATCCTGAATTGAATCATGAATTTCAAAACATTGTCCACATCCATGTTGAAAACTGTCAGCTACTATAAAGGAACACACTGCAACCATGGTAAATCACTAATTTATCTCTCACCAATGGAGAAACAGTCTTATAACAACTCAGATATCTTCAATGAATATCAAGCAACTACAACTTCTACCAGCATTCTCTGTACTTACTAGGAACCAGTGAAGGAAACAAATTGTTCTTCTTATAGTCATCGTTCTGAAAGAAAACAGATCACTGAGAAGTGACTGGTTTGAGTTCCAAATGCATATTTTGCACATAGTAAGGCTTCAATAAATTTTCTTTTTTTTTTTTTTAAAAGATGACCGGTAAGGGGATCTCAACCCTTGGCTTGGTGTTGTCAGCACCATGCTCAGCCAGTGAGCAAACCGGCCATCCCTATGTGGGATCCGAACCCGTGGCCTTGGTGTTATCAGCACTGCACTCTACCGAGTGAGCCACGGGCCGGCCTGAATTTTCTTAAAATTAACTTGAAATTAACTAAACTTTATTACAGTCAAACTTCCTTCTTGTTTGGGATAAAGTTTTTTTAGGCCTTCTGGAAATTAGCCTTAGTCATGACTATAGGTCTTGCTGCTTCTGTTACCTGTGACCTCATACAGGAACCCACGAAATATTTTATCTTTGAGCCTAGAGATGCTATTTGTGAAAAATGATTTGTTTAATAAAATTAGAGAACTCTTTCTCCAGCAAACAAATGGCAAGAAAGAAGGAGGGGTGGGAAAAAATACTGTTAAAGATTAAAAGACTTAAGAAACATATCAACCAAATAAATGTGTGGATCTTTTTGAATCTTGATTTCAACAAAATAAGTGTAAAAAATGCATTTTTGAGACAATCCTGGAAATGTAGTATGGATTGAGTATTATATGATATTAAGGAATTATTTTCATTGTATTGAACATAGTGGCATTGTTTTATATTGTAAAAACAAAGAGTTTGTGTTAGAGATATATACTGAAGTATTTACAGTTTAAATTATATAATGTCTGAGATGTGCTTACAATTCCTTCTCTGTCCTCCCCACAAAAAATATTAGGAAGAAATAGATAGATGAAATAAGAGCACCAGAATGTTGACAACTGTTAAAACTGAATGATGGATACATGGAGCTCACTGTATTATTCTCTCTAATTTTGTATATATCGAAAGTTTCCTTTGTTTTATTTTTCAATCAGAGGACTCGCATTCCAAGAGTAAAAGTTGAACAATTCACAAGGTGTGGTTCCAACAAATAATTTCAATAAAGAAAATCAGTTAGATTATATCTAAAATTTAAAATCCTAGAAAAAGAGCTTCGGGGTCAGAAAAGCCTAGCAAGGTAAAAAGAACAAGAGAACTTCTCCTCACTTTATGCTGAAGGAATAAAGAGTAAAGAATATTAATGCCTATCCTCCTCCCACAACCAGGCACACCACGCCAGCACCTCATGGTCCTTCCAGGGACCTGAGGCATGGAAAAGGGGACCAGACACACTCCACAACCAGGAACACCGCCAGCACCAAGGAGCATGACAAAAACATCACTTCCATGTGGGTGGCCCACCACAGCCACCACAATAACCATAGCTGCCACCAAAGCAGATAGACACCACAACCACCATGCAGATGGTCCACCAACCACTGGAGTGCATTCTCACAAGGAGAGTCACCAGCAGAGATAAAGAAAAGAAGAGGATGTCTCTCTCCACAAAGCCCATTTCAGAGTGACAGAAAAAGCATCCGCTCTACAATAATATTGGGGGACCTGATCACACCTCTCAGCACTGGACAGATCATCTAGGCAACAAATTAATAGAGTAACCACTATTCTTTCAGAAGGAGAGAAGAAATCTAGGGTAATTAGAGGGGGAAGGAGGGAGGGAGTTGGGGAAGGGGAGAGATTGGACAAGGAGCATAAAGAATAATTATGATTTGTAACAGTATATATGCTAGTAATATTGATTTGATCAACATATGCCAATATTCAACCCAAAAAATATGTACAATCAATTTTGATTCAATAAATAAAATAATTTTTTTAAAAAATTAATGCCGGGCCGGCCCGGTGGCGCACTGCTACAGTGCGCCGCTTGGGAGCGCGGCGGCGC